TCTACTGTACAAAATCAGCCGCTATTCTGGAAAAACTATTCTGCTCCTGCTCGGGCATAAGTCCTTATTCCAGAACACTGTTCCGGAAAAAGGCCAGTGTAGACAGCCCAGTAGTCTTCTCTGGAAAAAAGCCCCGATCGCCAAAATGACGATCGGGGCTTTTTTCCGGAAAAGCGCGTCTACATTGGTCACAGACGCTTTTCTGGAAAAGCAGCCTGCCAATGTAGACGCTCCTTTTCCGGAAAAACTGAAAACGGAATAGTATTCCGTTTTAAGCAGTTCCGGAAATTCATGCCAGTGTAGACACAGCCTAGGGGTTTTCAAAAAGCACTGGATAGCCATCCGTCTTGGATAGTATCCACACAACAAATCCTGCATGAGGGCAAGAGACTAGATTAGATGACCCCTGCAGTTCCTTTTAACTCTATGGTTCTATTATTCTAAATTCACTTGGAATTTTAACTAAATAAAAACTGCAATATCAGGCCATTTGCCTAGACTGCTTTATATTTTTTAAAAAACTGTTTGGTCAACAATGAAATTTTAAACTGCTTTCTAAAAATGAATGCAAATGGACTACCTCATTCCATTCAGGTGCAGTATCAGTCCACTGATGAAATGCTCTAAATCATTTTGTATTATCACTTACATATTAAAAATGGCTGGTGCAATATTTTATTCCCTTCTATGTGTCATTATAGATATAGATATATTCCTGAGCTAGCTGCATCATTCAGCACTATTCAACATTATAACAATCTAATATAATATTATGTTTGATCATATTTGTGTGTGATTGTAGTTCATTAACCAGTTACTAGAAAGAAGGCTATTAACCACTTTAAAAACAAAACACAAACATTTAAACAACTAACATTTTATTAAGAAATAGGCAAGAAAAAGAATTCTTAGTATGTAAAATATATAGCTATGTGTCATGCCTTGACTCCAGTATCTTCCACAGAGCAGTAAACATTCAATCTTCATTTATACAAAACTGCAAATACCTGTAGTAAACAAACTACCCCATGATTAATATCAATTATTGTCAATCATTTACTTCATAAAAATAATCATAAGCAGAGCAATGGAGCAACATTCACAGCAGTGCATTTAAGAGTGTAAAAATGTGCAGTCAAGGCTACCCCTTTCTAGAGCACAGAGCATAGATCTTCACCCATTGTTTGCAAAGCAGCTTTTATAACCATTGTATTGGGCAAATGGTCCAGATTCTGAACTAACCCAGATGGAAGAACGTTAACTTCAGCACCTGTTACTGTCTGGTCCATCCTAGAGCAGCTATCCCAAAACAAGGAACTTGAAACAAGACATACAGGTAAGTGGTCAGTCAAAGCATATACAGGCACTCCAGCAGTTACAAATGTCTGCACATACCAACTCTTTCCTGCAGCCTCAGAGGAGCAGGCAAGAAGCACAGATGGGGGTGAGTGGTGAAAGAGCAGTTGGGTGAACTGCGGCCAGCCCCATCACTCACCCGCGGGTCAACGTCTGCTCCGGGAGCCCCCACCAATAGCCTCCATTCAGCCCCCTTGCCTGCAGGCTCCACAGTGACTCCGGCAGGCCCCAATCCCATCCCTCATCTGGCCCCTCCAGCCACAGACTCCTGCATCTAACCCATCCTCACCAAGAGGCAGCAGGTCTGGAGAACTCCAGAGTAGCAGGGGGCAGCTGTGCAGCCAGCAGCTGCAGGGAGGTGGCAGTTTCAACTCAGCTCTGTGCTAAAGGCCATGGGCTCTGTGCTGTCGGCTGCTGCTGGACCCACAGAAGGACAGCAGGTTTGTAGAATTTTTGCTGTTGCCCAGATCAGGTCCAACTCCCCTCCCCTTCGATTCCCCCAAGGGCTTTGGTATAGAATGTGGCTGTGGAAGGGGTGCTGCTCTGTGAGGTTTGGGAGTGCAGGCTCAGGGATGGAGCTGGGTGCAAGATGTGGGCACCAGGGTGGGGGCAAGTGAGGAGAGTCCAGGCTCTGGAATGGGAGTCTGGGGGCAGGAGAGAATGTTGGGTGGGAGCTTGAGAATGGGAGGGAATGCAAGATCCAAGGTCCTGGCAGAGTATGGGCAGACAACTGATACCTGGCCCTGTACAGCAGGCTATGCCGTCCCAGCTGGGTCTGGGGTTGGAATCCTGAGAGTCCCACAAGTAGTGTGGTCTGAGAGCCAGGCAGTGGGGATCTAGCTGTGCCCCCATCCCGAGGGTCGGGGTCCCCATGCAGTAGGATCTGAGGTCAGGTCTCCTGCTCCCCATTCCTGGCACTACTTTGAGGGGTGGCCTCTGGGCAGAGGGCATTGAGTCAAGGTAGCACTTTCCGCATAATGATAAATCAGTGGAGACTAGGGCTGTGACGGTTTAGCCAGTTAACCTTACCAGTTAAGGTTAACCAGGGAGGGCTGGAGCAGCCTGGGGGGGATGAGAGTGCTGTGGGGCCCAGGGCAGTGCCGCGGGGCCCAGGGCAGTGCCGCAGGGCCCCGGGCAGCAAAATTTCACGGCCCCCCCTTGACACAGCGCATGCGCCGTGGTGCCAAGGCGCATGCGCGGGGCCTCGGCAAGCGCGGGGGCCAGGGCAGCTGCCTGCTCGCCCTGCTCTAAATCCCCCGCTGGTGGGGAGCACTACAGGCAGGGGCTGCTCCCCGCCCCCACCTTGCCCTACCTTTAATCAGTTAATCCCTAGTTGAGAGCTACTGCCCAAGTCGTGAATTATTGGTAATGAGTTCACTGGAATGCCTGTTTAATTCTGCAGAACCCATCAAATAAGGCAGACTTGGAATTTGCATACTTTGCCCTTGCCATTTACTTTAGTCATCCAAATAATTGCATATTTGGAAATAATGAGCTGATAGTAAATTCTGATAGTTCAACCAAATATTTCATACCACTTGGGGAATCCAATCTTATCATTGTGAGATTAGATTAAAAAGCTAGCATCATATTTTGGGATAGCTTCTGTGACTTCAGTCATGCAGAGTAGTGCTTACTGCTCAAGCAATCCCGTAGTGGAGTAAGGCACAGCATAACCAGGCTCTATATGTGTAGATTTAATAAACTAGATTGATTTATTTATACTATAAAACTGTTTTAAACCACTGTACTGTAGCAACATGATGCAGTCATTAATGGATGTAAAATGAAACCCACTTTAAGACTCAGTGCCAGAGTCCTGTAAATTCCTTTACTGTACTATAAATGAAGATCAGGCCCTGTTTCCATAGTCTTTTACTTTACAGATTACTGCTAATTTGAGATTTTTTGTAGAGAAAATCTGTTTCTTCAAATTACATTTATGGCTTAATTTTGTGTCTGCCAAAAGATGCCTATGTAGCTAAATTTTACCAGTAAAACATTAAATCCATAAATAACTATTTTACTAAATTGTGGGTTTTTCAAAAAAAAAATTCCATAGTGCAATATACAGGAATTTGAAGGTATGAACAAATGTATTTTTCACATCTGCACTAAAATTAGAAATACATATAAGCCTAACTGACTCCTTGCCAACTATTCTTTTCCTTATCTTTAGTTACGTACATTTTTCTTCTGGACATTTCAACACCCCAAACTAGATCTTTAGCTGGTGCAAATCAGTGTGGCTGTATTGGTTTCAATACAGGTATGACATTTTACACCATCTAAGGACTCCGGTTCCAAGGTTCCACTAGTCTTTAAAAGGTTTGCTCTCTTTTCAGCTTCTCTGATCAATTTTAAGGACCTCTCTTCATGTCTCTTAAGACCTGATACTGTAAAGTCAATTCATATGAGTCAGGTCAACTGAGGAGGAAGAGTTTGTAGGATCAGGATTCATTTGTAGAGGGGAATGTTGCTATTAGGCACAGCTAACAATTCACCAACTTTTTCAATATCTTCCCCTTCAAACCATGTTACCTTCTCCCTCTCCTCCAGTGGTTATGGGAAGAGACTTTAACAGCAACATTGCTTTACTTATACCAATCCCTGCTCACTCCTTTTCAATCCTGACTCAAGGACCATCAAGCATCAAAATGAGAGCATGATAATGAAGGAATTATTTAAAAAAAAAAGAGAGAGAGAGCTCGGAGACAGATGACAGAAATAAAGAAACTGCAACCGATGAGGAACTAAAGAAAATGCTAATAGTTTCCAAAGTATGGGACGTTATTCTAAAATTCCTGTCCCTTACAAAAAAAAATAAAATAAAACCATTAAAGATTACATACTAAAACAAACACCTACCGGGTTTCAGCTGAGTTTTCCCCCCTTTAAGTCTCTCTTCTGCAATTTTTTGTCATTTAGTTCCACTTTGCTGATTTCTTTATCCTTTCTCCCGGCTTACTCCTTCTTTCTGCTGCTCACTGGCTCTCAACTCTGCTCTTATTTCCTGTTTTCCTCCTCTCACTCTCTCTTCCCTCAGGAAAATGTATGAACAGCAGCCAAAGGAAACTTGTAAACTAATGCTGTTCTGTGAGAGTTGCAAGGGTTGGGAGAAACACAGGGAGGAGTAGCTGATGCCGTGTTGCTATCTGCTATGGCTGTTGTGATAATTATTGTTTTCCTTAAAGCCTCAACTTCTGGAGTCAAGTGGATATGTGATTTCAGACTTCATTCTTACTGAAAAACAGTTTCTAGCCCTTGTGGCTATGGAAAAAGCTTCAAAACATGATCCTAGCGCACCCTAAAGGCTCAAAAAGCAAAAGGCAAATAAAAAAAACCCTCAATCTATTATTTCACATTATTGTGGGATTTTAAAACCAATCTCATGATTTTTGAACATTTGGGGTCAGCAATAATGACCAGGACACAAAGGGAAAAGCAGACAAAGGCATGAAAACCATAGCACCCCTGTTGTGATTCAGTGACATTTTGGTCACAAGGCAACCTATTCCGCATCGCTGCCAATCTAAAGGAAAGATTATGAAATCAAATGAAATAAAAATATTAAGTGAATCAACATGTTCCATAGAATCGCTATGGATAGAAATTCCATGCTCCAATAATAAGAAATTAGCAGTAGGGATATATTACCGACCACCTGACCAGGACAGCGATACTGACATGACATTTTGGTCACAAGGCAACCTATTCCGCATCGCTGCCAATCTAAAGGAAAGATTATGAAATCAAATGAAATAAAAATATTAAGTGAATCAACATGTTCCATAGAATCGCTATGGATAGAAATTCCATGCTCCAATAATAAGAAATTAGCAGTAGGGATATATTACCGACCACCTGACCAGGACAGCGATACTGACATAGAAATGCTGAGGGAGATTAGAGAGGCTGCCAAAATAAAGAACTCTATAATAATGGGGGATTTTAATTACCCCCATATTGACTGGATACATGTCACCTCAGGAAGAGAAGCGGAGATAAAATTTCTCAATGGCTTAAATGACTGCTTCTTGGCGCAGCTAGTGCAGGAACCCACAAGGGGAGAGACAATTCTCGATTTAGTCCTGAGTGGAGTGCAGGATCAGGTCCAGGATATAACCGTTACAGGACCGCTTGGGAATAGTGACCATAATATAATAACATTCAACATTCCTGTGGTGGGAAGAACACCTCAGCAGTCCAGCACCCTGGCATTTAATTTCAAAAAGGGGAATTACACAAAAATGAGGAGGTTAGTTAAACAGAAATTAAAAGGCACAGTGACTAGAGCCAAATCCCTGAAAGCTGCATGGAAACTTTTTAAAGACACCATAATAGAGGCCCAACTTAAATGTATACCCCAAATTAAAAAACATAGCAAGAGACCTAAAAAAGAGTCACCGTGGCTTAACCACCATGTAAAAGAAGCAGTGAGGGACAAAAAGGTATCTTTTAAGAAGTGGAAGTCCAATCCTAGTGAGATAAATAGAAAGGAACATAAACACTGTCAAATCAAGTGTAAACATGTAATAAGAAAAGCAAAAAAAGATTTTGAGGAACAGCTAGCCAAAAACTCAAAAAGAAATAACAAAATGTTTTTTAAGTACATTAGAAGCAGGAAGCCTGCTAAAAAGCCTGTGGGTCCCCTAGATGATCGAGCTATAAAAGGAGCAATCAAGGACGATAAAGCCATTGCGGAGAAACTAAATCATTTATTTGCTTCAGTCTTCACGGCTGAGGATGTTGGGGAGATTCCTGAATCTGCACCGTCCTTTGTGGGTGATGAATCTGAGGAACTGTCCTGGATTGAAGTGTCATTAGAGGAGGTTTTGGAACAAATAGAAAAACTTAATGTTAACAAATCTCCGGGACCGGATGGCATTCATCCAAGGGTTCTAAAAGAACTCAAATGGGAAATTGCTGAGCTATTACCTGTAGTTTGTAACTATCCTTTAAATCGACTTCCGTACCTAATGGCTGGAAGATAGCCAACGTGACACCAATATTTAAAAGGGGCTCTAGAGGCGATCCTGGCAATTACAGACCAGTGAGTCTAACTTCAGTATTGGGCAAATTAGTCGAAACAATAGTAAAGAATAAAATTGTGAAGCATGTAGAAGAACATTATTTGTTGGACAAAAGTCAACATGGTTTCTGTAAAGGGAAATCCTGTCTTACTAATCTGTTAGAATTCTTTGAAGGGGTTAACAAACATGCGGACAAGGGGGATCCAGTAGATATAGTATACTTGGATTTTCAGAAAGCCTTTGACAAGGTCCCTCATCAAAGGCTCTTGTGTAAATTACATGGGATAAGAGGGAAGGTCCTTTCATGGACTGAGAACTGGTTAAAAGACAGGAAACAAAGGGTAGGAATAAATGGAGAGGGATGGCAGGAGACAAATCGCTTGATCATTGTCTTCGGTCCACCGTCTCTGGGGCACCTGGTGCTGGCCACTGTCGGTAGACAGGATTCTGGGCTAGATGGACCTTTGGTCTGACCCAGTATGGCCGATCTTATGTTCTTATTAGATGGAATAGCCATTCCTCAAACATCATGCAAATGCAGAAGGAAGTGCTCCTCTTCTTTGGGGGTTTTAACATGGAAAGGGAGCATACAATCCAACAAGGGCACAGTTTAGATAAGTGCTCTTAATTCTAACCTGTACTACCACTGGCTACTTCAGTCCAAACTTCTCAAAAGGAGAGCCTGACAGTTGTGCCAAACTGCAACACAGTCTAGACGATAAGGATAAAACTGAGGGACCTGCAACTGGTGCTTTGACTTCTTATAGAGCTGACTGAGTTGTGATAGGCGCTGTGGAGATTTAGGACCCAGCTTTCAAGTTGCCCCCTACTGTCCTAATCATCTTTCTAAGGTTTCAGTTTTTGTGGCTCAACTAATTTGAGGAAAATCCCTCCTAAAACTAGTAGAGCTACCTTCAGAGGGTCTCTTATCCTGCTTTCCTAATACGGGAGCCAGCTACATCTCTGGGACAGCCTGTGTTGGTACAGCGTGGCCGTACTGCTGCTGCTACAATGTTATTTATACTTGTGCTAGCTCAGTAGAAGCCAGCATAAGATACGTGACTATGGGAATTCAGACCCCTAGCTCACAGTGTAGTCTTAGTTCCGTTCACACTTGTGTCATTAAGGGTATGTCTAGTTAGAGCTTGCGGCTGTGTTTCAACTTGAGTTGACTACCTATAAGCATCAGTTAACTAATACGATTGTCAGAGCTGTTTTTACCCATGCACAGAACACGCAGCTGCATAGGGCACCTGAAAATTTGGGTTAGGTGCGTCTAGACTACAGGGTTTTGTTGACAAAAGTGGACTTTTGTCAACAAAACTATACCTGCGTCTACACTACTGCCGAGTTCTGTCAGCATAACGTCGACAGAATTCGGCAGTTTTGTTGACGGCGGTAAACCTCATTCTACGAGGAATAACGCCTTTTGTCGACAGAGTTCTGTTGACAGAAGGCGTTATTTCATTTACACTGTCCTTTGCGTCTACACTCTCATGTCGACAAAGCGGCTTGCTTTGTCAACAGAAATGGATACAGTCTAGATGCTCTTTGTTGACAGAGGCTTTGTCGACAGTATCTAATACGATCGTCAGAGCTGTTCTTACCCATGCACAGAACACACAGCTGCATAGGTTACCTGAAAATTTGGGTCTTAGGGTGCGTCTAGACTACAGGGTTTTGTCAACAAAAGTATCTGTCGACAAAGCCTCTGTCAACAAAAGCCTGTAGTCTAGATGTACCCTTAGTGTCCACCTCCCGCCGCTTCCTATCATTGTTCTGAGGCTCTGCTTAGTTAACTTAAAGGTGAAAACGCCTGTCTGAACTATTGATTTCAGGGTTAGGTTCCTGCATGAGGCAAGGATTGGCCCTGTCTCCAAGGCCTGTAGGAGTGAGGGGTCATTTTCCATGATAGGTTGTAGATGGTTGCTAAGGTGCTGGAGGGCTTTAAGTTGGGGGCTATAGATGATGACACCTGGAGTTCTGTTGTTTTCTTTGTTGGGCCTGTCTTGAAGAAGCTGATCCCTGGGTACTCATCTGACTTGGTCAATCTGTTTTTTTACTTCTCTGGGTGGGTATTTCAATTTTAAGAATGCTTGATATAGATCCCGTCGGTGTTTTTCTCTGTCTGTGGGATTGGAGCAAAGCTGGGTGTATCTTAGGGCCTGGCTGTAAACAATTGATTGGGAAATGTGTCTTGGATAGAAGCTAGAGGCATGTAGGTAAGTGTAATGGTTAGTAGGTTTCTGGTATAAGATGGTGGAAAGGTGGCTGTCATGTAATTGTACTGTAGTATTAAGGAAGTGGATCTCTTGTGTGGACGGATCCAGGCTAAGGTTGATGGCGGAGTGGAAATCCCTGTGGAATTCTTCAAGAGTCTCCTTCCCGTGGGTCCATATGATGAAAATGTCATCAATGTAGCATAGGCACAGTTTAGTATAAGTGATGGCTTCTCCCACTCTAATTGACAAATGTAGCATCCTCTTTCCATCTGACTGGTGGAGTCCCACCTAAATGTTGGGGAGGAAGGTAATTCTGTTTCTTGATTTATCTGTGTTGTGGGCTTCCTCCTCACAGAAGAAGGGCTCATTCCTCGACACTATTTTCGGTGATGAAGAGGGAGATACTTGAGCTAAAATGATCAGTTCTAAGACTGTCCTTTCTCTGACTACTGGTCAGCGAGGGAAGAATGTACTGTTCAACAGGACCCTGGAGGTAGTAAAATAACAATAGCACTTGTATAGCATCATTCCCATTCTCTCACTGTTACAGGCAAGAAGGCTGGGGCTTGGGAGCTAAATCTAAGGTAAGCCCATGATCAACTTTACATTGAAATACCTCATCTCCTGACTCATAGCTTTCTCCATCTGACTCCTCCACTTAGATCTCAGCTGTATGTAGTTGATTTCTGACTGAGGTAGGGTGGCCATCTTCAGCAGGGACCATCCTTCCTCAGAATAAACAGCAGCATCTGTTCTTAGTTCATACTGAAAGCTCCAGGAGTCTGTGGAGTAATATCAACTGAGACAGCTTGGGACTGAATAGATTCCTTAAGAAATCAGTCCATAATATGATCTGCTGTGTACTTTGGAGAAAAAAAACCCACACAGCTGAGGTACGGAGTTCTACAAACTAGCCAATTGGTGTGTGTTTGTTTTTTTTACATCATCTTTCTTCTGAATATATAT